ATCCAATATAGAAGAATTATTGTGATATCTCCCCGCTGTGTCCGGTGTACGGCTATGACAATAATTGTCACTATGAGAATGTTGAGATAAGCAATGGGAAGACAACAGGTGAGCAAACCCGGGAACTCAGCCACCGAGAGCTCACTAATTAGGTCCCCGAGACATAGAAAGAACTGTCAGGGAATTTAACTCTCCAGCATCCACCACACTATGATTATCAAAGCCAACTCTAGTATGTATTCCTATTACAATGCTGATGTTATAACAGAAGAGGAGATGCTGGGACTTTACAACTTCTTTTGCCCTTTCCTTCTGCTCCACTGCCACTTCCCCCAACTCACTTGCTGTCAAAATGATAGCCGGTAGTTGTGTAAATCCAGCAACTGTAGAAGCTGCTGCTGCCAGCAAACAGACCGTCTGCCATGATGTTTACAAACACCATTTAGGGTCCAGATAGAGAGAAATAAAGTAATGTTGTTACTTTTGTATATACTGTGTTTCACTCATCTTCAGATCAAGGAAGGGAGCTTCGATCTGCATGTGTCAGTTAAAGTTAGAATGTGTCAATCAGGAATGTATGTCATTACCCACCGCCCGGCTTCCTGTTTGCCAGGCAAGCCTGCTCCATGCCAGCGGAAGCACCAGTTTCAGTACTCAGTATTGGCAAGTACCGAAAGCAAAATATTGGTACTCGTACTTGATACCGAAAAAACGGTATCGGCGCATCCCTAGTTTTTAGCCACATGATGATTTTGCTGACACACACAGCGGTGGGCCGGGCCCTTAGATCGCTCACCAGCAGGCATATTCTGCGGACTTTGTTTGAATCACTTGCTGCTAACACTTGTATTTGTTTATGTAATAAAATAAATTAAAGCCCAGGCTTCTACAATACGAAGAACATTGTTATTTAGTCCTTAGGTAATGGCGTCACTGTACAGACTGAAAGCCCACATAGTCTTTAGAAGACATTAGCGTGGGCTTTTTTGCTGCTTGTAGGAGGTAAGAGTCGTTTAAGAATAAAAATCACATTATAAAACGTCATTCCTGAATACTTTCATTTGTGTTAAATACATTTAATTTTCCTTCTGGGATCCTTCAGGCCGCGAGATTTCAAGGTGGGCAGCACGGATCAACTTCCAGCTCCGCAGGGAAACCTGCTAAGATACGAGTCAGTCAATCTGGACGTCAGCCGTCTCTTCTGAAAAGCAAAGAAAAATAAAAAGGAGGGACATTGGCTTTTTTTTTTTTTAATGAGTAGACATTCCTCATGAAAACTAAAGGAAAAGCTGTGCCCATAGCAACTCGTTAATGGAAGTAATTTCTTTAATGATAAAATTGCACAATGAAAGGCACAATGCGGCCAGGATGGTGTGGGCAGTGCCCTTTCACAGTGCTGAATGGGTCTACCTCATACAATATTTATGTGTTGGCTCTGATCTGTGCACAGGGTATGTGCAGCACAGTGATGATGTCACAGCAATTCTTACAAGATATTATCCAGGTTTGCCATGGCATATGATGCACACAAAGTGGATTTATATCCTTTTTGGCTATTGAGGTATATATGTAAATAAAGGTTTTTTTGTACCCGGAGTTGAGCTTTGAGGCGCAGGGTAATAGTTTGGGTCAAGTAGGAGCGTCTGTCAATTTTGCTTTTTCACCAAATGTTACCTTAACACTTTAAACTCTACCTAAGGTTCTCATTTTTGAATCTCCTTTGAACGTTTCCTCCCAGCCCGGCAATTTTTCCCTAGAGACTTTCCATGGAGCGTTAGTTTAGATCTTTCCTTCTGAAGTTTGTATCGGAGTTTTTTTCCCTTGAGATTTTCCTTTAGTTTGACTTTCTATGTTGGCCTCAGAGCTTTGCCCAGAGCTGTGTATCTGAGCCTTCCTTACACCATCACCCTACAGCTTTATATCTGAGTGTTTCCCTAGTCCTTTGCCTTACCTGTTTCTTATCTCCGGTGACAACTACTCTATGTGAGACCTTATTCAGTCAACAATTCTTGTTCATAAAGCTGAACTCCAGTCAAACAGTTGAAAAGACGGATGAAATAAATATATTGGAACTGAATTTGTATTTCTGTCCATCCACTTCTGAGGTGTACACATCTCTGCCACATAGAACAGCCCTGTCTGGAATAGGAGAATACCTGCTTTTTCTCTGCAGAAGTTAAGTAACCTCTACAGGTCTTGTCCCACCCCCAAAATGTGATTGGACAGTGAAAGGAGAAGCAGCAGACTGATGAGCTCATCTCTCTGTCATTCTATTTCCTTTTGTACATTATCACCATGCCGTTAAAGAACAACTCCGGGCTTTTAAAAAAATTAACCCTTGCAGTGGGGCTGCCCTCGGAATGCAAGGGTTAAGTCTAGGGACCAGAACAAAGCAGATATACTCACCTGATCCTCAGGCCCTGCAATAATCAGTACTCACCTGCCCCAGCTGTGGAATTTTTCTTGGCATCCTCGCGTCCAATGCAAGTCAATGGAGTTCTGAAGATTAGCTACAATTAACAATTTAGGTGTTCCATATTTTATAGCAAATCTTCATTTTTCGAAGCTCAGGTCCACTTAAACAAATGGGGAACAATATTCCTGTTGCATAGCTGTAGTCCAGGATTCATTTGTTCTAAATTGCAGCTTTAAAAAACTATAAAATGTTTCTAGCACATCCTGACCTCCCCCAGGTGCTCAACAGATTGCGTGACCTCCATGCTAAACCCAAAATGACATGTGAAATGGCGTGTAATAGCACTCCTATATCAGTATGTAAACCTGTGAAAACAAACACGGAGATTTACATCACATAAATGGGATTTTCTTAGCATGGAATTGTCTTTGTTTTGGGCCGAATCTATTTTTAAGTGATATCTAAAGCCCATTTTTTTTTTAATCGTTATGGACAGAGTAGGAGTTGGTTAAAAACACGAAGTTTTCTTTTTTTTTCCTTTCTGTATTGCATTCAGGAGATTTCCCTGAACTTCCTGTCCTGCAAACTTAACAGGAAATGAGAGGATATCTTTCCAGTGTGAGGGAAATCCCTTCTTAAATAGGGTACGCACACTGTTATATTTTAGTCCTGAACACAATAAAGAAAAAATATACTGTACATACTACATGGACTTTTTAAGAGGGATGCATCAATACCGTTTTTTTGGCATCAAGTACGAGTACCGATATTTTTTTTCCCGGTACTCGATACCGGCATCCCGAGGTGATGTGGGCCTGGCTAATCAGGAAGCTGGGTGGCATCAGGAAGCCGGTGTTCTATAGAAAGCACACTGGCTTCACACTGCCTCGCAACACTGCAGGGCAGCCTGTTGTCATTTGTTGCCAAGTTGTCATTGTTTAATGACAGTTCAGCGTCCCAGGTAACCTGGGGATGCTGATCCGTCATTGCAACTGGGCGGAGCCAGCCGTGAGATCACGACTGGCTCCGCACAGCTGTCAGTTGCAAGGCTTTCAGTCGACCAATGGCCCGCCGTTCGCCCCACTTCGGCTCAGTCATATGCCTTCGCCTCGGCTGAGCCGCTCGGCCAGCTTCGGGAGCTGTACGGGATATAGTGAATAGCCTGACAGCAGCCCCTCGGTTCTACTGAGCCGAAAGGCTCCAGCGGCCAAAGCTAGACAAAGGATCAGTCGGAGCTACGGCTGATCCTTCGGCTAGCTTTGTGAATAACCCTCTAAAACTTTTAACATCAAGGAGCAGCATCCATTTTTAGTGATTTAATCATCATTTGGAAAAGATTAAAAACCTATTGACTTTAATATCACTTTCAGGTGCAGCCTTTAAGCCATCCTTGTGCTGTGAGTAACCAAATACAATTAAAACAATGACGACTTTATTACTAAGATTCCTTAGCTGTGTTCTTCGCATATTTAATTATATTGCTCATTACGGTGTTAGGGAAAAAAAAAACTAATTTCAATAGCAGAAGCAATATTGAAATATGCCTATTTTTTATTTCTTACCATCAAAGTGACATTTATTATCCGTATAAAATCCGAGTGTTTTACAGGAATCCAGGAGAGATAAGAGCGACATGCCGCGGCGTCTGGAGAGGCAGCGCAGATTACAGCTGACATGCTTTGTTAGGAGACAATTCATAGAATGGAAGTGTAATCTCGCCCAGCAAAGCAGACCACAATTTATATGTATAAATAAAATATGCAATGTGCGTCTGCCTCTTCTATTGCTTTTCTGCTTTATGCCCAGATTATCCATAAATCTATTCAATAAAATTGAAACAATATTAATGCCTTTCACTTTCTTGTTCTCTATCTATGGCTTTTTTGATTGAAAATGAAAATACTCACTGTGGGAAACAGATTGTTATTTGGCACATGTCTTTTATTATATATATATATATATGTAGCACATATACAGTAAATATATATATATATACACACTGTGTGTGTGTGTGTGTATATATATATCTAAAGCTATCTAAACCCGATAACTATAATTTATTATAATTCAGCTTACCTATGGTGGCTGCATTGGTTTTCTTTTTTTCAGACTTTTTTTTCAGGCTATTCATTATTTTCTTTAGGCAGTTGTCCATTACAAATTCATTTTGGGTTGGCAATGCTGGTGTCCTCAATGGTAGGAAAACGGGCGTTTCTAGAGACTGGGTTAGATAAATGCAGATGGGGGAAGCCCGGTACTCAAAATCAACATTGAGTCACTGTGCAAGTTAACTATGAGGGTTATTCACAAAAGGGTGAAGGGTTTGAAGAAGGCAGGAGAAATGAACAATCTAGGACAACATAGCTGAATCGGAAAGTGAGCTGAATTGGAGAATTATGCCAAATCAGCTATTTTGGCCTAGATTATTCCCTTCTCCTGCCTTCTCGAGACTCTTCACCCTTTTGTGAATAACCCTGTATGTCTATAAAAAATTAATAAAATGTAATTCTTGATGTACCTGTGTATTTACATTAAAAAAAAATTCCCACCTTTTCCCCCCCTTTTTCCCCCCTTTTTCCCCCAGCCTCTTGAGCTTGACTGTGGCCATTGCGCAATTGTATCAAATTCTGGGCAGATGATCGGGCAGAAGGTTGGACCTGAAATTGACCACTCTTCCTGCATTTGGAGAATGAACAATGCTCCCACCAAAGCCTATACAGAAGACGTAGGGAAGAGGACTACGATCCGGGTTGTGTCTCACACCAGCGTCCCTCTCCTGCTCAAAGACCCCAATTACTTCTTCAAGGAGACCAATGACACCATCTACGTCATATGGGGTCCTTTCAGGAACATGCGTCAAGATGGGAAGGGGATTGTGTACAACATGCTGCGCAAAGTGGTGGAAAATTACACTGGTGCTAAAGTCTACATAACAACTGAGATGCGCATGAACTACTGTGACAGTGTCTTCAAACTGGAGACCGGTAGAGATCGGTGAGATGCACGTTTACTACAAGTGTAGCTAGAATAGATATATTCAAAATGACCTATTCACTACTCTAATTATTGAATACATTTCAGCAAGTTATGGTATATTATATTTTTATTACACATTTTGTCTATTCAGAGCTACGGTTGACCTGATTTTTACCTGTGGTGTCCACATAGGAAATACAAGACATTTTATTAGTCAGTAGAGGAGGAGGTTTTGTGTGGATGGGTTGGGGAGCAAAAAGGAAGGCTTTTTTGCTCCCCAAAAAGGAAGGATGAAGTAATGTCCTGATTGACCAGAATCTCAGCTGAAAATCGGGTCAACTGTTTCTGATGAAGGAGGTAACTGCTGGCAATTTTTCACAAGCAAAGTATGTTAGAAAATCTCATAACTTCAGGCTTATTGAAGAATAAGATTTTCATAAGAGACGAATCCTCCTTAATATGGATGAAAAATCAAAGTTTAGGTCTGTTTCAAACATTTTATATGTTTATAGGCTCCCCAGTGCCCCCTGACTAAGCCTGCTTAGTTGAAGGACCAATTGCCCAAAATGGACCAGTCACAGATGTTCAACCTTTGCAAACATGCATATTTGTATAAATTATATTTGTAAGAACAGGTCTAATGTTTGAAGGCAGAATGACAGGGAGGTCCTGTATTTCTCTGATTATTGTTCAGATGACCTTAAACCTAGTATTAGGACCTACAGCACTCCTTTGATGTCAGCAAAACCTTTATTCTCATTTGTGAACACTCAAGTGCTTAGCTTCAGTTGCATCAGGTCCTGTAACAAGAGTGTTGCAGAATGTGCTTGTTACAAAGGACTGGTAAACAAGACATGGGTGACTATTTTTAACATTATACCTGGCTATTCTGCCATGAAGGCTCTTGTTCAGGCACTTCATGTCATAGGGTGATAAAACTCTGTCCTTGTCTACTAATTGTTTTCCTATGTTGTCACTTTGTCACATGTGCTTCCATGGAGATTATTAGCGGTTGTAGAGAGTAAAAGACGCGATTTGTGCAGCCATTGACCACTAATGTCATCATCAGAAAGTCCATCTTGAGAAATGCACACCAGATGTGGGGTGTTGTAGTTTGTCGCCATTTTGCTACAGAGCTCAGTTTTCAGATTGGCATCTTTGGTATCGCTTTAATCAATGCAGTCCCATCTTTTATATCTTACAGAAAATTAGAAAATGTGATTGTATTTTTGCACACTAAAATTGTTTTTGTAGTGCCCCCTGACCTCCAGAGGCCTGAGGTGGACTCCCAAAGGCAGGAAGGGCTGACATTTCACTCTCAGGGTCAGATCCGTATTCAGTGAAGGGACATGTGATTGACAAAGTTAGGCCCCAGTCACTTTAAGGTGCCTTTTTAAATGCTTTATTGTAGAACAGCAAAACTGGGAGAGAGTATACTGGAGGTATTCCCAACCCCACCTTGTGTCCTTCTGGGCCAAGGCTTCTGGCAGTCAACTCCAAATTAAGGTCCATGGTTTTGAAATGGGATGTCTAATAGGCTCATTTGGGTCTGATGGTCAGGTATCTACAAACCTTTGGCCAAATAGTGTACCTGAGCTAAGACCAGGATGTAACAAAAAAACTTGAATAAAATAGAACAAAGTTCAATAAAAAATGTTACAGTCGTCCTTTAACGTATTACTGTTACCATGCATTGTTTTGACTGGAATCCATTCCCCTCCCTTTTTTTGTACCTTTTGTATCTCCATTACATTATTCATTCTGACATAATGAACAGCCTCAGCTGTCTGAGACTTGTTTTATTTTTGCATTATCTCTAGATCATTCTCTATTGCACTATTTGAGGGAGCCAGCCCGTAGCTTAGTGACGTCTGTACATTGTTCCCTCAATACCTATGAGCCCCGTAGGAGCCCCTAAAAGAACCCGGTATGCATTATTTATTGCCTGATCTCCGTTGAAGTGCCTTCACTAGTTAGACCTTCGGGCATAATTATGAAAAGCTATTGAACACATCTTACATGATGAAACAATGGGCAAAACTCAAGAAGAAGGTGTAAAATGGACAATATAACTTTGTCAGACGTCTTGCAATCGTATCTCCAGTCTCTGAGGTCTGAAAACTTTTTTTTCCTTCTTATGATGATTAGTCTCTGTTCCATCATAAAGTGTAACTCAACCTGTACTGATAAAAAGTCAGGGACTTATTGAAATGTAATTTGTTTGCTCTAAATTGAAGCTTCAACTTTCATTTAAAGAATATTAGATAGCTGGCGGAAAATATTGTGTGTTCTCAGAGAATGAATTGGATCTCGCTACTCCTTTGAACGAAGTTAAAAAATTGATTTCTTGTCAGAGCCCTGTGAGGAGATGGGCAAGTTACCACAGCTTAGATGCCCGCAGGGAATGCCATCCAAAAGGCAAGGGCGCTGGACAAAGGTCAGAGAGGTTACATTAAACCTTTACAATGCCATATTGAGAATTTAGTAGCAAACAGCAAGATTTGTTTAAAAGCACAAAGGGCCTTGAAAGAGCAAATCACATACCTGTAGTCTACTTACAGGAAAGATGAAATGACGGGTAAATAAAAGAGATTATTATAGCTATGATATATTAGTTGAAAAAAGAACAGATTTTAATGAATGTTGGTATAAGCGCCCACATCTGTTTTTAATATTAGCTTCATTTAATCCTGTGCATGGCAGGTCTGGGAAATGGAGGTATGGAGCTGTGAGTCAGTCAAGCTCTTCTACACCGCCTGGCCCAAAAAAAGGTCACCACCTAGATTCAGCTAAGAAAATAGGTGAAAGCCTTCCATGGGTTAATAGGTCTAGGTTCAGCAACATTATGTGCCCCAAAAATGAGGTCAGTTGCCTACCTGTATATACTGAATGACAAGGTTTTTCCATCAATGGATCTTTTTCTCTTCCCTGATGGCACATTGGGAATATTCCAAGGTTACAATGCCAGGATTCATAGGGTTCAAATTGTGAAAGAGTGGTTCAGGGAGCATGTGAAATCATTTTCACACATGGATTGGCCACCACAGAGTCCAGACTCTAACCCCATTAAAAATCTTTGGGATTTAGAGGACACCTTACACAGTGGTCCAATTCATCCTAGTGCCATAACCAAAGCTAAAGGCGGTCCTACAAAATATTAGAGTGTGTGATTTTTTTTTTTTTGGCCGGGCAGTGTATTATGCATAACGTTGCAACAAGAAGGGACAGCACTGTGAATGGTCAGTGTAGTCAAGTCAAATGTTTGTGACCAGCTGATGGGAGGGGTTAGCAGAGTGATAGTTTAATCAGGTGAAGGGTGGAAGGTATGGGTCTACTATTGGGCCCTCAATGTTATAGGCAATCTCACTGACCCATACTGAGGATCAAGGTTTCATTTTTTTAGGGGGGGAGGGGGTTGTTGAACCATTCATCCGGAGGGCACAGAGTTGTAACAATAACTTACGGTATACAGTATGAAAGGCATACGATTGAAATCATCATTGTTTATTACCTGAAGTTCAATTTGAACAAAAATCAAATACATTTTGTCAGGTCAAAGAAAACAGGGGTAGTTATTACCTTGCACAGTGCTGCCATTCTAACACTAGGAGATTGCTGATGAAAGATGAGAGCATAGAGATGAACTCATCAGTGTTCTTCATTGTCGAAACGAAGTTGGAGTTGGGCCAGCAGTGACCAAGCCTGTTGTTAACTGCCAAGTCATCACAGGTGATCTCTCACATTGCTCGCTTTTCAGACCTGTATGGCCACCTGAAATTGCAAATCTAGGGGAAAAAAAAAAAGTATAGTCTGTTACTCTCTTTATCAATTTAAAAGTGTAACAGGAACCGTTCTTAACCACAGTCTTCTATGGCAAATACAGCACCAGGCAGTCCACTTGACTTTTCAAAAAGCTTTATTTTCCACAGCATACAGTAAACAAGTTTTTCTGCAGTTCATGAAATACAGTCCAATCTTTGCAGCAAAACACAACACTTCATAACATTAGTCAGTACTTTCCTGTACTCCAATGCGGTTTCCAAAATAATGCCCTTCTCAGCAACAAAAGGATCTGTGCAGGCTTCAATCCTCCAGCTCACCTAGCTGGGTAACAGTCTCTTACACATAAAGCCAGGCTGTTTCCTTTTAAACACTCATAGCCGCAATAATGGGCTACACCTGTGATTACCGAGCTGCAATGACAAAACCTGGACTGACCAGCTCACTTATCTGATGGGATAATGGCCCACCCTTCTCTCCATTATTCCAGCCCCAGGGACCCAGAACACAATTTATAAATTGCACAACTAAACCATACACACTTTCCCTGGGGTTTTTTAACTAAAAAGTGGGATGCAATCTAAAAAGCTTGGACTTACATACCTCCGATTTATAACCATTCCTTGCTTTCTGTCACAGAAATATAAGTTTTATTTTAAATATTGCTAGCCCACCTTCCTGAAATCTACAGATGGACTCTAAAGCCCACCCTAGGTAAAATATTTTAAAAATAGTAGCCCATGCTTTGTTAAAAATAAAAAAACAGCAATGCACCTCTCTTCTCCTAGGTTGTTCCTCTCTGTGTTGTGAACCAGCTATTGGTCCTGTTCCAGGCTAAATGATCCCCAATGTCATGTAACCCAGCTCCTCTGCGCCTAAATGCCATGAACCCACCGCCTGGGAGCATGGCTTCGGGAGCCTTACGTGCACAGGGAAATGCTCAGATATTCTAAACAAAGAACTAGCTTTCTGTACTTCAGACCTTAGGAAGTCGGTCTAGGGCTGGTAGTAGTAGAATATGCCCCAGCCTCAGTGAGAGTAAACAATGCACTAGCATTAGTAAGTGGTGAGACTAAAACTTACTTAGTGCCTGTGGTCAGTTGGAGGAGGAATTGTGCCCCATAATTGGTGTAAGTGGAAGGAACAGTGCTCCATCACTGGTAATAGCGAGAGGAATAGTGCCACATTGTTGGTGTCATTGGAAAGAATAATTCCCAGTCATTGGTGTCAGTTGAAAG